TTTTGTGTATTTTGTAAGTCATAGTGGTGACAGTAGGCATCCTTATCTTGTTCCCAACATCTCTTGAAATGCTTCCCACGTGTCACCATTAAAAAGATGCTAGCTGGTGAAACCCCGTCTCTACTGAACATACAAACATTAGCTGGGTGTGGTGGTGGGCGCCTGTAATCCCAGCTACTTGGGAGGCTGAGGCAGGAGAAATCGCTTGAGCCTGGGAGGTGAAGGTTGCAGTGAGCAGAGACTGCGTCACTGCACTCAAGCCTGGGCGACAGAGCAAGACTCCATTTCAAAAAATAAAAATAAAAATAAATAAAAAATAAAAATAAAAAAATAAAAAGATGCTAGCATTTGGCTGAAATAGATGTGTTTTTTATATTGTTACAGAAGTATCCATCCACTCCTCTTTTATATTGTTTTCGTCCCTCCATTCATTTCTGTTTTGTAATATTTCATCCATTAGGAATGGATATCGAATTTTAACAAATGCTTTCTCAGCATTCTTGAAGACAGTGACAACTGCCCCTCCTGCCTCTGGCCTATTTGAGTAATTATATTAAATATTTCTATATTGTAGGCCGGGTGTGGTGACTCATGCCTGTAATCCCAGCACTTTTGGGAGGCCGAGGCAGGTGGATCACTTTAGGTCAGGAGTTCGAGACCAGCCTGGCCAACATGGTGAAACCCCGGCTCTACTAAAAATACAAAAATTAACTGGGCCTGGTGGCATGCGCCTGTAATCCAAGCTACTTGGGAGGCTGAGGCAGGAGAATTGCATGAGCCCGGGAGGCAGAGGTTGCAGTGAGCTGAGATCGTGCCACTGTACTCCAGCATGGACGACAGAGCGAGACTCCATCTCAAAAAAACCTGCCCTCGCCCAGCTATGGAACTAGCAATTCAAAACAGCATGAAACTTTGCCTAATGTACAAAAGAGGAAACAACCAAACAAATCCTCTTACCTGTGTCCACATGGCTTCAATTGTGTATCTGCTACCTCATCACAACAAAGGGAACAGCAGTTTTCTCGGATACTGACTTGCTTCAACAGAGCAAGACGTCTGTGCCTGAGTAGAAAAAGCAATTTGAAATGCATTTTGTCAACAGGGGGCCTATTAGCAGTGATGCATATGAAATGCTTTGAAAATGCTCTGCACCTGTGAGATATATTCCTTAAACTTTGTTCAGTAAGGTTTTCATACATGCTATCTCCTTTCAATCCTATAATCATTTTCTAAAGTAGGGAATGAAGGAGGTATAACCATTTCCATTTTATAGACAAAGTTCAAGGAAGTGACTTATGTAAAGTATGCAGTCGGGAATCAAATTCAAATTCTTTAGTTCTAAGTCCAGTGCTCTTTTTATGTTACCAGCAAATTTCAACCTTTTAAGTCACATATGTGAGAGTCAGCTGACAAGCATAGAGCCTTTCTCAAGAAAAACACACATATACAAGTTTTTATACAATTTCAAGGGGTTTATAACAGTCCATTTTAGACTCCCTGCAAGTCCAAACACCTCAAGTTAGAACCCTTCCATTATACTTTCACTCAGCGTGGAATGGAAGCAGACAGGCAAAACTGTTCTGCTAAAGGTACAGCCCTAATAGATAGGCAACAGAAGTATGAAGCATTTATTCAGTTCACTTATGGGCTTACTGTGTGCCAGGCACGGTTCCAAACCCTAGAGATTCAGCAGTGAACAGAGGACTAAAAAAGTATCCCTGCCTTTGGAGAGCTTATGGTCCAGTGGGGGAAGACAGAAATAAACAAGATAAGTAAAATACAGTGTTAAATGTTGATAAATACTATGAAGAAAGAGAAAATGGGAAGGACAAGGAGTGTACACATCAGAGGTGGGGAGTTATTAAAACAATTTTAAATACGGCAGCCAGGAAAGGTCTCACTAAGGTAATATTTAAGTGAAGAGGTAAAGGGAGTCAGGAAGTGAGTTCTGTGGTTGTTTGGAGAAACCATTTTGGGTAGCAGGTACAGCAAGTGCCCTAAAGCTATCATAGGCCTGGTGTGTTTCAGGAGCAGCAAGGAGGCCAGGGTGACTGAAGGAGCATGAGAAAATGGGAGAGGGTAGGAAAGAGGTCAGAAAAGTAACATGGGGAAGGGAGAGGACAAATTGTACAGGGCCTGGGAGGTCACCGGAAAGGTTTTGGCTCTTGCCTTCAGTGAATAGGAAGCCACCCACTGATGTCTTTTGAGCAGAGAAGTGTGCGATCTGACTTACGCTGTAACAAATCATTCTGGAGGCTGTGTTGGATAGACTGAAGGGGTTCTGGGGAGGAACAAGGTCGAAGGCAAGACAAAAATAATACAGGTAGGAAATGGTGGAGGCTTGGACCATGGTAGCAGCAGTGAGGGTGATGCGTAGTTGGATTTGGGATATATTCTGAAGGCACAGCCTTCCGGATTTGCTGAGGGATTGAATGTGGGTATAGCAGAAAGTAAGGTCTTCTACAGTCTTCTCTCATCTGTTTTTTTATTTTTATTTTTGTTTTTTTTTTTGAGACAGAGTCTCACCCTGTTGCCCAGGAGTGTGGTGGCACAATCTCAGGTCACTGCAACCTCCATCTCCCAGGCTACGGTTATGACCAGGGAAACAGGGATGATAAAGTAGTTATTAACAGATGAGGGGCCGGGCACAGTGGCTCACGCCTGTAATCCCAGCACTTTAGGAGGCCGAGGCAGGCAGATGGCTTGAACCCAAGAGTTCGAGACCAGCCTGGGCAACATGGCAAAACCAAGTCTCTACAAATAATACAAAAATTAGCCAGGTGCGTTGGCATGCCTGTAGTCCCAGCTACTCAGGAGGCTGAGGTGGGAGGATCGCTTAAGCCTGGGAGATGGAGGTTGCAATGACCTGAGATCGTGCCACCACACTCCTGGGCAACAGAATGAGACCGTGTCTCAAAAAAATAAAAATAAAAATAAAAAAACAGAGATGAGAGAAGACTGTAGGAGAAGCAGCGGCTGTGAGTGGGTGACTTGTAGCTGAGAGTGGGTATGTGGTGCTTCACCGTACTATTATTTTTTTCTTACTTATTTGAAATTTTCCATAATAAAAAAGTTAAAGAAAAAAAGAATGAATGGAAGAACAATTAGAGACAGAGAGTATATACAACATAGAACAATTTATAAAATCCCAGTTGGTAGTAATAGGGCCATGATCTCCTACCCTGATGCCAGAAAGGAGTAATATTCCAATGAATATAAAGTACCACTGAATATACATTTTTGGAACACAGGATGAAAATATTAATGGTACAGAAAATGGTCTTAAGTAAGTTCATATTTAATGCCACAATTTATAAGTAAGCACAACTGGAATGTTAAGGGCAGCAAGGTGCAAGAAGGAGGTTGGCACTAAGGTGGCCACTCAATTAGGCTCTTGACAACTCTATCTTCTTGTTACTATCAGAGAAAACAGTCTAAAGACAGCACAGGATGGACCTAGCTTGAAATTCAGCTGTTCTTATTCAAGACAAGATGAACTTTGAGTACCAAATTTATATACATGGTTACCAAGAGTGTGTGTATAAGCTGTCCATAAAATAAGACTTTCTGACAGTTGATGCCCATTGCCATCTGAGTTTTGGAAGGTTTGATTCTGTAGGAGCAGTTAACTAAATGCTGAAGCATTTTAACTATGGCCAGTCCCCAGGGGAACTTAGATGGATCAACTGTCCCTTTCAGGGTATATGTGAGAAGACTTATTTGTGGGCCTCATCCAAGGAAAAGGCAGGCTAGATGAAAAAGAATGGGGTATGATAGATTAGGGAGAGATGTCCCCTCAGATTTTGGCCAATAGGAATTTAAAGTTCAGAATCTCTGTCAGGCACCAAGGATGAGGCTGAATGAAAAGTTTTAGGAATTAACCTCAGAACCCTGAGCAGGAACATACGCAACCCTTACGTTCTTGGGTTATTACCGAGGCTCTGCTGCTGCAGACAATGCTACCATCATCATGCCATTTTCTATTTCATCTGGAAACTACTGAAACACTGAGACAGTGAGTCCAAGGTGAAGCACAGCCCAGAGCACTGCTTGCAGATCTGCTTTTTGAGCCAAAACAAGAGCTAGGATTATGCTACAGATACCTTCGGGGCATAACAGTCCAACATTAGCTATGTCATGGCCAGTATGCTGGCCTTGCCTGTTGAGAGAGACTCTCTTACTGATATAAGACATGTGGTATTAGTAACAGGAATACCCTTTAAACAGGCAGCTGCTCTGTTTAAAATGATAAACTTTAGCTCACATTGTGAAACAAGTTTCAACTTGAAGTAATTACCAGGAAGCAGCTGGAGTCTTTCCCCAGCCTAAGGAATAGACTACATTCATCTCACAAGGAAGCAAAGCAGGCATTCATCTGATAAATTAATGCCAAACACAGTTTTTGTCAAATAAGGGTTGTGAAATTTTATGCAAGATGGTATTCACTGATGGTTGTGGAACAGTGTTGTCATCTTTGCCACACAGCTAAAACCATATAAAAAGTCTGTTTCAATAAAGCTGAGTCTGTTAAAAAGGTGCACTAGATTTCCTAATATTTAGGATTTTGACACTGACATTCAAGTGAAGTTAGTTTGCAGCTTCTTTGTGTGTGTCATATTTTTCTGATTTTTATACCAATCTTATTTATCTTACAAAAAAAATTTGAAAGTGTTCCTTCTTTCTGGGTTTGGTAACATTTTAAAAAACAATAAGGCTATCTGTTACCTAAAGATTTGGTAGAGATCCCCTGTGAAATCACCTGGGTCTGGTGCTTCCTAGGGACAGATATACACAATAATTGGTTTGTGTATATCTCTTCTGGGATCTATCTTAGTAATTTATATTTCCTGAAAAGTCATCCTTTTACTCAGGTATTGTAATTTAATTCAAAATGTATTGGTTATGTTCTTTTAAACTTGATTATAAATTGTTTAATTTCTCCTAAGATTCATGTGAAAGTCTAGAGATAGCCTGGGCAGATCCCTTACCTTGGCAAAATGATTTTTTCTTCAGCTGTTAGGAAGGCGTAGTCATTAAAAGTGCTAAATTTCATAGATGGTGGGTATTTGAATGGTTTTGCTCCAAAATTGAACTCACATTGTTGATATGACATGAAACTAGCTGCAGCAAAAAATCCAGATCTACAAATAAAACGAGTACAGAGGCCAACAGAATTAATAACAATCAAAATAGAGTTAATAGACAGAACAGTTTTCAGAAAGGCAGGGTGAGTCAGTCCTACCCTGGCAGAAAGGAAGAGTGACAGATTGTGTTTATAACCCACACAGGTCTGTGACCAGAGAATATTGTGCCTTATCTTCCTGTATCAAACCTCAGGATAGTTTTAGGTCTGATCAAATGGGTTCCCAATCACTTGAAATTAATCAATTTCTCATCACAATTACGTACATAAATGGACAAAGACTTTTTTTTCCTAGAGAAAAGGGCATTCCATGCATCTACTCAAATTTTTGACTGAGAAGAGCTACTTACACAGTAGATGAAAAGACTTGCTTTTCAGGAGGCAGCTGGTTGCCATTTAAAAAGAAGATCATTTGCTTTTCATTCAAGTCTAACAGAAATCCTACTGTATCTCCTAGAGAATAAAGTGAAACACTGTTAGGATAATGATGTGTACTACCAGGATTCTCTGATAAGCATCTCAAGTGTTTCAGTGGCACTATATTAAGTCTGCATCTTTAGCTATGCATTCAACATGGTCATTTTTGTTTCTTCTGATCTGACCCCACCCACCAATATTTTAATGTAACAATAAGAAAAAAATACTGCCAATTAAATTATGACAAGCCAATCTTAAAATGCATCCCAATTTTAAAGATGTTAAAATGTGGGGAAAAATATGCATTTTGGGCTCAATGCAATATGGTAAGATCAAAATCATGTGCTTACTTGCCTTTCTGGTGAGATTTATAACTCCCTAGATAACTACCCCCAAAATATGCTTTTCTTTTAAAAAAAGGCAAGGCAGGCCGGGTGAGGTGGCTCCCGCCTGTAATCCCAGCACTTTGGGAGGCCGAGGTGGGCAGATCACTTGAGGTCAGGAGTTTGAATACCAGCCTGGCCAACATGGTGAAACCCTGTCTCCACTAAAAATACAAACATTAGCTGGGTGTGGTGGTGGGCACTTGTAATCCCAGCTAGTCGGGAGGCTGAAGCAGGAGAATCGCTTGAATTCGGGAGGTGGAGGTCGCAGTGAGCTGACATCATGCCATAGCACTCCAGCCTGGGCAACAGGGCAAGACTGTCCAAAAAAGAAAAAAAAAAAAGACAGGGCGTGGTGGTTCATGCCTGTAATCCCAGCACTTTGGGAGGCCAAGGCGGGCAGATCATCTGAGGTCAGTTTGAGACCAGCCCAGCCAACATAGTGAAACCCCATCTCTACTGAAAAAACAAAAACAACCCGGGTGTTATGGTGGGTGCCTGTAATACTTGGAAGGCTGAGGTAGGAAAATCGCTTGAATCCTGTACGTGGAGGTTGCAGTGAGCTGAGATTGCACCAATGCACTCCAGCCTGGGTGACACAGTGAGACTCTGTCTCAAAAAAAAGAAGAAAAAAAAAAAAGCATTTATCTTCACTTATCAAATAAAGTAAAACTCTTAAGGTTTCAGTTTTTGGTTTTGTTGTTTTTGTTGTTAAGACAGGGTCTTGCTCCATTACCCAGGCTGGAGTGCAGTGGTACAATCCTAGCTCACTCACTGTAGCCTCAAACTCCCGGGCTCAAGTGATCCTCCTGCTTCAGCCTCCTGAGTAACTATGACTACAGGCACGTGCCACCACACCTGGCAAATTTTTAAAATTTTTTTATAGACGGAGGGTCTCATTATGTTGCCCAGGCTAATCTCAAACTCCTGGCCCCAAGTGATCCTCTCAAAGGATCCTCACACTTCGACCTCCAAAACTGCTGCGATTAAAGGTATGAGTCACCACATCTGGCCCAATTTTGGTTTTGAAAGATGAGATAAACAAATTTGTTTGTCAAAGATAAATGAAATTACACAGCAATGACAAGAAAAATGGACACTCAATGCTGGTGGAGGAAAATCGGGCAATATACAGCAAAAGTTTTGAAATTCTATATCCCCCTTGCCAGAGAAGTTTCACTTCTAAGGGTTTTGTCTTGAGAATATCCGGAATGGTCTATAATGATAATTTCAAAAGACAAAAATGTCAATGTCCAACAATGAGGCATTAATTAGTATATCACAGTACAACTATATAATGGAATATTGAGAAGCCATTAAAAGTAATGTTATTGTCTGGGCCATGGTGGCTCAGGCCTGTAATCCCGACACTTTGGGAGGCCAGAGTTGGGTGGATCACTTGAGCCCAGAAGTTTGAGGCTAGCCTGGGCAACATGGCAAAACCCTATCTCTACCAAAAAAATATAAAAATTAGCCAGGCGTGGTGGTGTGTCCCTGTAGTCCCAGCTACTGGACAGGCTGAGGTGGGAGGATGGATTGTGCCTGGGAGGTCAAGGCTGTATGAGCTGTGATCACACCACTGCACTCAAGCCTGGGCTATCGATAGGTGAGACCCTGTCCCAAAAACAACAAAAATAAAAAGTAATGTTATTTAATAACCTGGAAAGCTGTTCAAGGTATTAAGCATAACAACAACACAAATATATATACATATATATATATAAAATTTAAGCATTTTAAAAAAACTCTGGAGAAATTACAGGGGATTTTTAGTTTATTCATTTTGTTCTTTTTCTATTTTTCACATTTTTATAATAAACATATTACTCGAATAATCCTTTAAAAATTCTTATTAAAAAACAAGCTAGTTTTTGAAAACAGTGCCTTTATCATATGCTTAATTAAATGAAGAAGTTTTACGTTCCTTCAAGAACCTGCAAGTCATTTAAAATGAGTGTTCCTGTTGGCTTTTCTGACTTTTTTTCCCCACATATCAATTTAATCAAGTGGAGCTGTTTCCACATGGGGGTGGGCAAATTCCTGCTTTCTTTCCCTTTTTTTTTTTTTTTTTTTGAGATAGAGTCTCACTCTGTTGACCAGGCTGGAGTGCAGTAGCGCAATCTTGGCTCATTGCAACCTCTGCCTCCTGGGTTCAAGTGATTCTCCTGCCTCAGCCTCCCAAGTAACTGGGACCACAGGTAGGTGCCACTACACCTGGCTAATTTTTGTATTTTAGTAGAGATGAGGTTTCACCATGTTGGCCAGGCTGGTCTTGAACTCCTGACTTCAAGCAATCCACCTGCCTCAGCCTAAATTTCTGCTTTATTAGCATGCCTAAAAATTCAGTTTATATTCATAATGCTGACTGGGGTAGCAAAATGAGAGAGGGATGCTTGGAGAAATAGCTGGGTTATATCCTCTATCTCTGATGCTAGGACTCCAATCCTTCCAGAGGTTGTATCTTTTACCATATGACCCTACTTCCTTAGAGCGTGGTCACTGGATAGGACCTGTTCCATAGCCATCTTGTCCCTGAAAAATCCTCATTTTAGTGGCATTACAATTCCAGTGTCCCTGATATTGGCATGGCTGTTTTAATTCAAAATAGATCCAAAGAGGAAGATGGAATTCATACTAATCTTAACAGTATCATTTTCTGACGAAGGTAAAAAATTTATTTTCTGAAACGTTTTTGCTGCAGGAAGGACTCCACCAGAGGTAAATTTATCGGAGGAGTACCATTTATATCTTTGGCAGTGACACAAAAGTTAATATCCCTTTTCACATTTGATCTTCTTCTAAGACATTTTAAGGCTTAATGTAATAAATGCCTCATAATAACCATATGTCTTAACCCACTTGATAAATTTATAATGGAGGGAATGAATACCTTCTTTCCAGCATGGGTGTATGTGAGGCTTACTTCTGGCATTGTACCAAATCAGCTGCCGGCAGCCATCATACGCACAAGAGTATTCATCATCCCCAATGCCATAGCCTTCCTGGAGGGAGACAAGGCCCAGAAGATTAGCAAGTCTGCCTGCTCTGACCTGGGAAGAGAGAGTGTGTTTTTTACAACCACTGACCTAGTGGCTGGGATTCTAAGCTTTCTGGATGAAGAGAGCTCATGGTTTTTGGAAAATACTAAAATTATGACTTAGAGGGCTGGTCCCAAGTGAACAGATAATGACTTCACCAACAAATATTTGCCCAGTACCTCCTTTGTTCAGGCACTTTCACATTTGTTAGTTCATTTAATTCTCACTACCATGAGGCTGGTGGCATCAGACTCCATTATAAGAGGAAACAAACGCTCAGAGAGGTCAACCAGCTTGCCCAAGCATGTATTACTTGCCCAAGAAAGAGAGCCAGGTTTGAACCTAAATTCTTCTGATTCCAAAATCAGTACACTTGTATATCAGTACCAGATTGTCAGAGGAAATTCAAACCAGTGAGACTCCATCTTGAATAGGGGCAGGGTAAAATGAGGCTTAGACTTGCTGGGCTGCTGGGCTGCATTCCCAAGAGGTCAGGCATTCTTAGTCACAGGATGAGACAGGAGGTCAGAACAAGATACAGGTCACAAAGACCCTGCTGATAAAACAGGATGCGACAAGCCAGCCAGAAGCTGGCCAAAACCCACCAAAACCAAGATGGCAACAAAAGTGACCTCTGGTCATCCTCACTGTTCATGATATGCTAATTATAATGTATTAGCATGCTAAAAGACACTCTTAACAGGTGCCATGACAGTTTACAAATGTCATGGCAGTTTGGAAGTTACTCTATATAGTCTAAAAAGGAACCCTTGGTTCTGGGAATTGCCTGCTCCTTTCCCAGAAAACTCATGAATAATCTACCCCTTTTAAGCATATAATCGAGAAATAACCTAAGTTCACTCAGTTGAGCAGCCCGCGCCGCTGCTCTGCCTATAGAGTAAGTAGCCATTCTTCTGTTTCTTTAATAAACTTTTCACTTTATTCTATAGACTCGCCCCAAATTCTTTCTTGTGCAAGGTCCAAAAACCCTCTCTTGGGATCTGGATCCAGACCCTTTCCAGTAACAAGATCAGATCAGGCAAATGCCTTTCTTGCATGTAGCAGACTTCAAAATACCCAAATATTCAGAGATTTCAAAACTGGAGACGAGAAAGGTTATAGTGGACACTCAGATAAAAGCTATTCTGAGATCAGCTTGATTTGAGGATTGTACAGGTCCTTGGCAGTTTCTTCTTTTTTTTCCTTTGAGATGGAGTTTCACTCGTTGCCCAGGCTGGAGTATAATGGGGTGATCTTGGCTCACTGCAACCTCTGACTCCCGGGTTCAAGCGATTCTCCTGCCTCAGCCTCCTGAGTAGCTGGGATTACAGGCATGAGCCACCATGCCCAGCTACTTTTGTATTTTTAGTAGAGATGGGGTTTCTCCATGTTGGTCAGGCTGGTCTCGAACTCCAGACCTCAGGTGATCTGCCCGCCTTGGCCTCCCAAAGTGCTGGGATTACAGGCGTGAGCCACCGTACCTGGCAGTTTCTTCTTTTTCTTACTTACTGCCTTTCAATTATTTCACAGAACTGTTAAAATAAAAGGGTGGCTGAGATCTTAAGAAATTATTTTGAGTGCTTATAAAAAATAGAAGCAGCAAGCAAATCAGACAACTGCTATCTTTAAGGAACAATGGTGAAAAGTTTTACTAGAGAAAGAAATTGAAAATGGCCAAATCCGCCGGGCGCGGTGGCTCAAGCCTGTAATCCCAGCACTTTGGGAGGCCGAGATGGGCGGATCACGAGGTCAGGAGATCGAGACCATCCTGGCTAACACGGTGAAACCCCGTCTCTACTAAGAAATACAAAAAAAAGCCAGGCGAGACGGCGGGCGCCTGTAGTCCCAGCTACTCGGGAGGCTGAGGCCGGAGAATGGCGTGAACCCGGGAGGCGGAGCTTGCAGTGAGCTGAGATCCGGCCACTGCACTCCAGCCTGGGCGACAGCGCGAGACTCCGTCTCAAAAAAAAAAAAAGAAAATGGCCAAATCCAGGTAAGATCAGGTCCTGATGGCCTGTTTCTTCTATGGGGCAAACAATACAGTGAGGAGATAGATTGGAAAAAAAGGTCGAACGCAACGATTTCGTACTACATTTTTGGATTACAACATACATACTGAATTTAGATGAATGCTCTCCAAAGGGACTCTCCTGAAATAGCTACTGATATTCACTATTCAGACTATTCAAGAGTTAAATGAGCTTGCATCTAATTGCCTTAGAAATTCACCACCCGACGCTGCCAGGAGCGCTGGCTCATGCCTGTAATCTCAGCACTTTGGGAGGCGGATCACTTGAGGCCAGGCGTTTGAGACCAGCCTGGCCAACATGGCAAAACCCTGTCTCTACTAAAAATACAAAAATCATCCGTGTGGTGGTGCACACCTATAATCCCCGTTACTCTGATGGCTGAGGCACAAGAATTGCCTGGACCTGGGAGGCGGAGGTTGCAGTGAGCAGAGACCACGTGCCACCACACCCTGGCCTGGGTGACAGAGTGAGACTCTGTCTCAAAACAAAAGAAAACAAATTCACCACTTGCTAGAAAGAATGTCTTGCCATCCCTTTCAAAGGCTGAACAAGTCAGTAAGTAAAAAACTTAAAAACCACTAAAGTGTAGGCATTGGGGCATAGGTAAAAGGCAAGCAATTCTTTTCTATCTTCACCTTTTAATGTCCTGATAAATCCTTGACAGAACACTTGAAAGAAATTCCTAGAAACTAGCCACGATGAGTTGGTAAAGAACAGACTCATTACACATTCTTTACCATGCAGTGTCTTTGATGACTGGATAAGTTCCACAACAGAGTGGCACTGTAGCACAAAGAAGGAACTCTAATAACTTTAACTACAGAGCAGTATCTACAGATTTAAGGAGAAGATGCCTCTGCCTAGCTGAGATGCACTTTAAAAATCTCTTGAGCTTACATCTCAGAGAATAATCTAGATGTTCTACACCTTCTCTCAGCTCAAAATGTTCCCAGCAGGATTAATTTTGGTTTCCATTGGCTAGGACAGATAAATGAGAGAATAGAGTGGCTAGCTTGGTATTCATTTTGAACTGTTTTTTGGTCATGCATATTTTAGCAATGGAAACATTACCAAATACACACAAAAGAAAGTTTATCCACAGCTTGTCATTCAGGGAATAGTCCCATGTGGTGGACACTGTCTTTTTCCTGCTGTAGAGCATCCCAACTGCTTCCTGTTATGGGAAATGTATGAAGACAGTGTTCTGCCGCCTCATTTGCAAGTGGAAAGGTAAAGATATGACCTAGCCTTGGCCAGCTGGACCTTCCCATCAAACACTCATTATGGTGCAAGTGACCCCACACAGAGGGATAGTTAGGATTGATTTCTAGCAGCAATGGTGGCTACATGCTGGCCAGATCATTCCCCTAAAACACTGGCTGTTGTACTTCCTGTTTCTTGGCCCTGACATTGCCTTGGAGCCTGTCTAGTTCCCAAACTTCTCCATAATCTGAAGGCCCTGGAAAGGCTTCTAAGTCATTCCTTTTCTGTCTGAGATAGCCAGAGTCATTTTCTCCAAGGCAGGATGCTTCAACAGGGGAAGGAGCATGGGCTATCCTGACCAGGGTTTGAAATCTCTAGCAGCTAGAGACTAGATGGCTTTGGACAAGTTTCTTAATTTCTCTGAACTTGATTTTCCTCATCTTTAAATGGCAGAATAATATCTTTCCAACTCTCAAAAAGATTAAAGATGAATATGTGGAAGATCTATCACATGACAGACGCTCATGAAAAGGCAAAAGTTATTTATTTATTTATTTATTTATTTATTTATTTATGAGACAGAATCTCACTCTATTGCCCAGGCTAGAGTGCAGTGGTGCAATCCGGGCTCACTGCAACTGCCGCTTCCCATGTTCCAGCAATTCTCCTGCCTCAGCTTCTCGAGTAGGTGGGATTACAGGTGCTCGCCACCACAGTCAGCTAATTTTTGTATTTTCAGTAGAGACGGGGTTTCACCATGTTGACCAAACTCCTGACCTTAAGTGATCCACCCACCTCAGCCTCCCGAAGTGCTGGGATTACAGGTGTGAGCCACCGTGCCCGGCCAAAAGGCAAAAGATATTTTAGATAAATCAGAGTACACCCTTGGAGAGTTGCTCCTCCTAAGCCTCCATAAAAATATACAATACAACAAGAAAAACTGTTCTGTAGATTACCTGAACAGAACTATCCTTAAGCTTATTTTAATGACTTAAAATTGAGCCCAGTGGCCAGCCTTTTAAAATGGAAACCTAAGCAGCAAGAGTTCAAGTAAGAGGCACTATGGAGACACTTGGAATCTTTTGAAACTGGATGTATCCTAGGAATGACTTACTCCATAGAATCACACCCTGTCTGAATAGGCAAAAAGATTCAGAATCACCAGAACAACGTACATTTGAAGCAAAGTTTTAAATATGGCAATATCATTAAAATCCTGTATTTGGGAAAAGACATCATATCAGACTTTATCAGTTTCTAATAGGGAATCAACTAATGCTTGGATCAGGGAAGAATGTTTGCTTTTAAAGAAACCAATAGCCTGTCAAGTGATCTGCGGGATAAAAAAACAGTATTTAAGTCTTTAACTTGAGAAGCCAAAGGTCTGCAACTACATGGCAAAAATTATAGTTTCATCAAGCAAATGAAAAGATCCAGCTTCAGTGGTCATTAAAAAAACACATTTGTAACATTCGGTGTCAGATCTAGATCTGTAGTGTGTTTGCTGCCAAATCAGGAGAAACAAATTTTATATTGAAGCTTCCTCTGTGGAAGAATCCCCTATATTACTTCTAGTTCTAGAACAATTTTTCATTTCCAAATGAGGAAATTGGCTAATTCTCTGAGATTTTCCCCATTTTTGAATACAAAAAAAACAACTGCTGTAGAATAGGAAGGCCACTGAATTCTGGTATGAGTTTCTTCCTACTCTGTCTCAGTTTTCTCATCTGTGAAATGGAAATTCTAACAGTAAAAGCTATTGTGGGAATCAGATGATTGGCAGACTGGGGTCTAGTTCTCCACCCCAGACAAGAGTCCAGACTTGACCTCTCCACTGGCCCTTTTCCTCCAATTTGTCTCTCTCCAGCCTAGGAGTTTTAATAATACACCATCAACAATTCCAGGGTGAAATACAACCTTGCTGAAATAGGCCTTTAAAAACTATGCTTATAAGTAGCTCACCATGGGATGTTCCTGTAGTCCCAGCTATTCGGGAGGCTGAGGTAAGAGGATGGCTTGAGCCCAGGAGTTCGAGGCCAGCCTAAGCAACACAGTGAGACCTGTCTCTAAAAGCAAAGCAAAAAACCAGAAAACTTCACCATGCTTATGGCCGGCAAGTTTAATTTGATTTTGTTGGATCACTTCTAAAACCCATTCCAGGATCTTACATATTGGATGGGGGACTATAATTTAGATTAACAAAATAATTCAAGGGGCTTCTCCCACCTCAAATGGTAGAAATCATATGAAAACAAAATATTCCTGATCAAAACTGTATTAATTCCAAACAGCTTATAATTTGATCAACAGAGGAAAGCCAATTGGCCTGGGTGTTAGAAGGGTATAAAGTGGCAAGAAATCATACATCTGTAGGAAAGGGAGGAACTCCAACACCTTCAATGCTACTTACGCTAGGATTTAATTTTCCCCTTTATATTACAGCTTTCTATAACAAAAGATAAATAACTAAATATTGAGAAAAATGCGCCACCTAATTACTAGGTAAAAGTCAAGTGAAAGAAGTCAAGCCAACACTCTATTTCTTGAAAGGAAGAGAATCCCTACAAAGCTCTTAGAGCTTAAACTCATGGTAATAATCAGCACTACTTCCTGTATAAGAAATGAGCCAAATATGTGGCTAGGGCAGAAGCACAGCCTACAAAGACAAAGGACACATCCAGCCTCTAGGTGAAAAATTAGCGTGAACTTAAGATTCAAGAAAAAGAAAAGGCTGAGGGGCAATTTCACTTGTGTTTTCCTATTTTTCTATCAGTTTAGTAGATCATTGTTAGGGATCTGGTACCGTGTGGCTCAGCCCAAGAAAAGATTATTGAGCAAATCTATTTGAAAAATAAGTATGTCTAAGTATTTTCCACCCACCAACTAGGGGGAAAAAGCAAACTGCCACTGCCCCCATTTTCACAGTTCTCTAGGGTACTTACATGATTGAGGAATTTGCTGTCTCGAGTGGCCCAGCCAATTTGCATGACACCAGAAGTGACCACTGTTACTTCATAGTACCATACCCCAGCATCCACACAAAAGGTGCAACGCACACTTTCAAAAGAGGAGGCATCACAGCGAGCCTGGCAAAACCAAAAAATGTGACAATCAACCATGAGGGCCTGAAGACCACCAAAGATAACTGACTACTGGGAAGGCTGAGTGTATTTTTCCTTATTAAAGCTTCTGGTGGACTGTTTCCTCCATCCATCCTCAGTGACAAAAAGTATAAAATCAAACTATATAAGGCATTTGGCAACATACAGAATCAAAGAATTGTTTGCAGACATTCTTCAAACAGTTCTTTAATCCTGACACATTTAGTGCCTTATGGTACCTTCTGTTCATAAGCAGATCTTTCATCAAGACTTCCCCACGAAGTCAGCAACATTTCCAACATACAGGGAGAGAGGGAAGCACCAGCCCTAAGACAACTGGCTATGCAACGATTAAAATAATTACCCTGTCATCCCCCAAAGGGTCTAACTGCAGAAGCGTTACCTACCTCTAAGCCATGAGGTGAGATCTTCAGGTACTCGCTGACATCATTGCTATTCAGCATGGCCCTAATGCTACTCAAGTTCACTTTCTCATAGGTCAGCTGTCTACCTTCTTTTAAAACTGCAAAAGAAAGAGTGTTCATGTTTCTAAGGCAGGTAGCTGTGGGGAAAAGAAGAAGCTAGTGCCAGCTACAGCAATCAGACAAGAGAAAGAAATAAAGGGCATCCAAAATGGAAAGGAAGGAGTCAAATTATCTGTGTTTGTGGATAATATGATCTTATATTTAGGAAAACCTAAAAAAATCCACCAATAAGCTATCAGAACTAAAAAGCAAATTCAGTAAAGTTGCAGGATATAAAATTAACATACAAAAATCAATAGCATTTCTATATGCCAATAGCAAACAATCTGAAGAAGAAATCAAGAAAGTAATTGTATTTACAAAACCTATAAATAAAATAAGATACCTAGGAATAAACTTAATCAAAGAAGTGAAAGATCTCTACAATGAAAACTATAAAACACTAACGCAAGAAACTGAAGAGGACACAAAGATATACCATGTTCATGGATTGGAAGACTCAATATTGTTAAAATGTCTACACTACTTAAAGCAATCTACAGATTCCATGCAATCCCTATCAAAATACCAATGACATTCTTCACAGAAATAGAAAAAATAATCCTAAAATTTATCCTAACTACAATAGACCCAGAATAGCAAAAAACCTGGCCCTGAGCAAAAAAACAAAACTGGAGGAATCACATTACTTGACTTCAAATTATACTACAGAGTTGCAGGAACCCAAACTGCATGGTACTGACATAAAAACAGACACATGGACCAATGGAACAGAATAGAGAATCCAGAAATAAATCCATACATCTACAGTGAACTCATTTTCAACAAAGGTGCCAAGAACATACATGGGGGGAAAGGACAGTGTCTTCAATAAATGGTGCTAGAAAAACCACATATCCATAAACAAAAGAATAAAACTAGACCCCTATCTCTCATCGTCTACAAAAATCAAATCAAAATGGATTAAAGACTTAAATCTAAGACCTCAAACTATGAAACTACTAAAACATTGGGGAAACTCTCCAGGACACTGATCTAGGCAAAGATTTCTTGAATACCCCAAAAGCACAGGCACCAAAGCAAAAATGGACAAATGGGATCATATTAAGCTAAAAAGTTTCTTACAGCAAAGGAAATGATCAACGAAGTAAAGAGATCCCACAGAATGGGAGAAACTATTTGCAAACTATCCATTTGACAAAGGATTAATAACCACAATATATAAGAAGGTCATACAACTCAACAGGAAAACATCCAATAATCTGATTAAAAGGTGGGCAGAACAACTGAATAGACATTTATCAAAAGAACACATACAAATGGCAAACAGATATATGAAAAGGTACTCAACATTATTGATCATCAGAGAAATCCAAATCAAAACTACAACCCTTGTACACTGGTGGTAGGAATGCAAATTAGTACGGCCACTATGGAGAACAGTATGGAGGTTCCTCAAAAAACTAAAAACAGAGCTACCATATGATCCAGCAATTCTGCTGCTACATATATAGCAAAAAGAAAGGAAATGAATATATCAAAGAAATATCTGCAATCTCATGTTTATTGCAGCACTCACAATAGCCAAGATTTGCAATCAACCTAAGTGTCCACAGAGAGACAAACGAATAAAGAAAATGTGGCGCATACACATAATAGTGTACTGTTCAGCCACAAAAACAGAATGAGATCCTGTCATTTACAATAACATGGATGGAACTGTCGGACATGATGTTAAGTGAAATAAGTCAGGCACAAAAAGACAAACTTTGCACGTTCTCACTAACTTTTGTGGGAGCTAAAAATTAAAACAACTGAACTCATGAAAAGAGAAAATAGAAGGATGATTACCAGAGGCTGGGAAAGGTAGTCAGGGTTGGGGAGAAATGGGGTTGGTTAATGGGAATATAGCTAGACAGAATGAAGAACACCTAGTATTTGACAGCATAACAGGGTGACTAAGTCAACAATAATTTATAGTACATTTAAAAATAACTAAAAGAAAATGAAAGTGTAAAACAAAGAAATTTTAAAAAACCAAAAGAGTATAATTGGAATGTTTGTAACACAAATAAATGATAAATGCTTGAGGGGACAGATATCCCATTTACTCTGATGTGGTAATTACTCATTGTATGACTGTATCAAAATATCTCATGTGCTCCAAAAATATGTATTACTATATGTCCATTAAAAATAATCCTCCTGGAAGGTAAAACACACTGATTTTTCATATGTTAAAAATAAACAAACAAATAAATAAGGTAGTGCTATCCTAGTTAAGGAGTAGAGGTGCTCGTAAATGGCAGAATAGGTGGGGAGACATAGCCAGAGCTCTGCTGCAGCATTGCCATTTGAAGAGCAATCAAACAAATGCTAGGAAAGGCAGCACTGCTAGATTTATGCTTCCATTCCCTAGAGAATCACTTTGCATGAACAAAATCCAAATTGCACTCTTTCAGAATTATTCTTTAACTAGCACTTCACAGGCTGTGCAGGAAGCTCTTCCCCACAATATTGGGGTAACAGTCGGGGTGGATTTACATGTCAGTTGTGCTTTAGCACAGTACTAACTATGGATGGGGGAGTGAGGGTACAGAAGTATACAGGTTGATCACTCTTAATCTGAAAATCCAAAATGTTCCAAAATCTAGTACTTTTTGAGTGCAGACATGAGGCTCAAAGGAAATGCTCAATGAAGGATTTCAGATTTTTTGATTAGGGATGCTTAACCGGGTATCTGCCAATACTCCAAAATCTGAAAAAATGTGAAATCTGAAATACTTTCAGTCCCAAGCATTTCAGATAAGAGAAATTCAAACTATAAGAGAAACTCAACCTATAGTAGTTTTTGTTCCAGCAGCCCTTGGAGGAGGAAAAGAGAAAAATCAGGAACAGTTCTCATGATGTAGGTAAGACATGACTTGGGTTTTGAAGAGCAAAGTTGGGAAAGGGAGAGGAGTAAAGAGGGATTTCCAAGTGAGGGGAATAGGTCCAGAGGTAGGAATCGTCAGGACCTGTTTGTAGGACAGTGAGATGATTTGTGTTGGAAACAGCTGGTTAGACAGTGCCATATAATTAAGGGCTTTGATGCAGTAGGAAACTGGGTGCCAGTAAAGGTTTTTGAACAAGAAAATGCTGGAATTAGAAGCATACTATACAATTCTTGTCTAAAGGGTCTCTAGGATACTTTTCTGCTAGAATATATCCAACCTGCCAGTAGAGGTCCTTATAAGGACTCATACTTACCACTGCAAAAGGAAGACCAGTGAGCCTATGAAAGAAATGAGTCTGGAAATGGAAACAGACATTTTAATAAAGGACAACTCTCACTTACAGAGATTGTCTAAGCTCCACTGGGCACAGAAACCAACTTGACGTTTCAGATAATCAGGATCATTAGCCCAGGACTCCAATGTGACAAGCCGGTCACTAATACTGGATTCAGAAATAGTCAATTTATTTTCACCTGTTTGGAAAGACATAATCCTTGAATTAACAATGAAAGAGTAGAATGATTTGCTCAGCAAATTAGTATTGCTAAGGGGAAGAGGCAATTAAAGAATTGGAGACTAGATTAGACTTCAATTAAACTTTCTAGGGATAACATAGCCAAAGAGCTTTGACTATTTTCTTTTCCTTTTTTTTTAGTCACAGGGTCTCGCTCTGTTGCCTAGGCTGGAGTACAGTGGCACAACCATGGCTCACTGTAACCTTGAACTACTGGGCTCAAGTGATCCCCCAGCCTCAGCATCCCAAGTAGCTAGGAACATAGGTGCATGCCACCATGCCTGGCTGACTTTTTAAAATTTTTTGTAGAGATTGAGTCTTGCTATGTTGCCCACCCTGGTCTCGAACTCCTGGCCTGAAGCGATCCTCTGGCCCTGGCCTCCCAAAGTGCTGAGATTATGGGCATGAGCCACCACACTTCTTTCTAGAAAGTAGCAATCGCATTACTAAATTTTTGGCTATAAAAAGTGAGTAATCATGGTTACCAAGTTTCGATTCTTAGGTGAGAAAATCCTTGCCTTTGTCCCTGTTATACTTCATTGACTTTAACGTGTCTATCCAGACGAAAACAGAATGTAATGCCCATCTGATGGGGTTCAAAGTGTAGGCTCATCCAGTAACTAAGAAAAATAAAATTTTTAACAACCAATACAGAAGATCATTAGTGCAAGAAGTCACTATACCTACTTGTCTGTGCAAACTTTTCCAGTGCGATAAGTGCAAAAAGCATGACTGTGGGGTGGGACTGTAACTTCTGAAAAACAACAAAAGATAAAAAAAAAAAAAAAAAAATCATTCCCCTGCAGAGGTGGCAAGTTATCAGTTTCATTTCCTTGCCCAGTATGTGCTAGATGTTTTTTTGAGTGGTCAGAAAAGTTCCATTCATTCAAGTCCTCAATTATCCGTTTGGCTAATGTTAGTAATGACAGTAACAGTAATGAACCGGACAGGCTCTCTTAATCTTGTAATTTTTTCTTAAAGTCACTAGGTTAATTTATAGATTTGGAAATTTCAAAAGTATCCTGTTAAATACACTATGTTATTTTACTTCGTAAAACTTATATTAGGGCTTTGTTAAATAAAACATTGATTCTCACATTCATTTGTGCAAGCCAAACAGAAACCTTGAATTATAAACTAAAAATGGTCTTTTACTTAGAACCCTAAAAAGAAACACTTATCACTACCAAGTTCCAAAATTAGAAATAATTAAATTAACAATTAATGGCTTAGTTTTTAAGCTGTTTCCTGAAAGGAATTCTACAAATGCTGATGGTAGACAGGAGAAAGCAACAAGTGAACTCTTTTAGTTACATTTAAGTTCATGTCACATGAGTTCCCCTTTAAGGAAAGGTCTATCTGTTGAACATGACACCTTCTCATAGCCATGCTTTCCCTACTGCTGCATTGGGAGCCACCAGAGGAGCTCCAGAATATCAGATGATTCCCACTGACTTCCCTGGTACCCACCTAAGTTCTGGAAAGCTCACATAACCACCATCCCTACTGCTGGAAAGCCTATTCAGCATTCTATTTCTTCTCATATCCATCTAAATCCCTCTGCCTGGCTTTTCAGGCCCTGAACCCTTTCTAGCTGGCTACTCAGTCTGTGTCCTATCTCTGAACACTGTCTTCTCTCATCAGACA